GGGGGGGGCATGAACATGTAGGCCTATACTGACGATCGAAAATAGTACTTTACTTTTCCGATCCAGCGTCCACTGGGTTCTAGCCCTTCGGTCTGTCGATATGGCAAAGAAATCAAAAATAGTAAGAATAGATCATTAGAATCAAATGAATTATTAAAATTTCTTCCACAATGCAATGCTCCTCCATCTCATTCGATCTCATCCTTGTCTTCCTCCAGACAATTCATTGTACAATCTTTTTTTGTGGATAATAAAATGATTCTAGAAATGTGCGGGGGGGGAAGGGTGTTCCCCGTGTCATTTGATAATCTCAAAAGTGTACTTGTTTTTTGTGACTTAAATTCTCTCCCTATCAAAGAAGTTTTCAGGTTCAGTTAGTAGGCTATCATTATAATACTGGACTTGGGTTCTCCAGGTTAGAATACTCTATGGAGCGTCTTTGAATTCCAGTTGTTTAGAGACTTCAAGGCTCTCCCCCAACTTGGCTCTGTCCTATCGGAGACGGACCTTAAATCCGGCACTCCTGGCTTAAAAACAACAGTGTATTGTTATATTAACTTATAAAAGGTTTTCGAACCAGACCATTCCCTACTAGATCACATGATCATGCTCACATTGGGGCGGCCATGACATGGTATCAGTCGTCCCAATTATCTTCTGTGTCCTTTGATTTGACGAGACTGTTTCAGCCTCCGGCAGTTCTAATACGCTCATGTGGTGTTCACAAAGTTCTGCCTGGTTTCACTACTTGAGCTGCCAGATTCCCCAGCCGTTGTGGTGTTAAAGTCAGGCTCTTCGCTGTTGCGTGCAGGCAGATGATGTGAGCTATTGTTGATTTAGTAAGTTTTAGGGCGCTCGCAACTGCATAAGGTCATATATGAGCGCCAAGGGGTGGATGTCAACAGAGAAATCCAAACGGGGAATCAGGCTTACTCTGCTCACCTCTCTAGCCTCAACAGCACAAAGTCTGCTTCGACTATCAAGACATCCCGGAAATAGCAGTTCACAAGAGAGTGACAAACATACAAAAGAAATAGAGGAAAAATGACGATAATTGAGGAAAGAAAAAGCAGCAGTTCCCCCTTTGTTGTTTCGGCACAGTGTGAGCATAACATTGATTTAAAAAATCAGCCCATTTACAATTATACTGAGCATAAGAACTTTTGGGAAGATGTGAGTTCAATTCCTGGATGGAGAAGTTATTTTATCTAGTATCTCTTGTCTGTGTGCTGGATTGTTGTAACCAGCTCAGCCTGGGTGGGCCTAATAGGCCGGTTCGAAGCAGACCGATTTTCTAAATGACCTTAACTGTGTCGATGACGAGTAAAGCTTGTAAAAAATCAACCCCTAGCCTGGAAAATGAAGTCGGCATAAGGTATATTATGGCATTTTGGAACGCAAAATTCCAAGAAAAGCATTTACCATGAAAGCTGCAAGAGGTTAGGTCATTTGAAAAATCGCAAAATAGTTGTAACTGAAGCCTCACAAACGACTGTGCCCGAAAAGTCTAGTGTGCTTTTTTGTGTCTTTTCAGAGGTTTCAAATATCAATATTATGAAACTTCCTCAATAAAGCACATACACAAAATCGACTCTTGCGCGGCCTCCCTTTTGCAATCAGAAGTCGGGGTGGGGGGGAGGGGGGGGGTTGTACATTAAACCAACCGAGCGTTACTGGTAGGCTAGCGGGTGGGGGTGAGAATCTGGTGTTATTCACCTTCTATCAAATTTAAACAGAGTTAATTCAGTAAATTTATGTTTAGTAAATCAGCATCATGATCATGGAAACACACGAAGTGAATTAAGATCAAGTCCATGGTGAAAATGCTCATTATTTTTAATATTTTCAGTCTAAAACATATACATTAGTCAAACACCCATCTCTCTCTCTCTCTCTCTCTCTCTCTCTCTCTCTCTCTCTCTCTCTCTCT